GATATAAAACTTTCTACCACTCCAAATCCTCTCAAACCCATTTTTGGTCAATTGTCTACCCTGTCTTGGCCTCTGAGAACCACTGATCTGCATTCTGTCACTTAATTTTGTCTTTTCCTCAACATTATATAGAAGGATTTATATATAGTATTTTGAATCATATTTTACTTCTACATATATTATAACCCACAAAATTCAATATTATAATTTTTGCTTTAAACCATGAGTTTTCTTTTAAATAAAAGGGAGAATAAGAACTAGAGCTTTTTCTGTTTACATGTATATCCCATGTCTGCTATCTTCATTCCTTTCTGTATATCTAAGTTTTCATTTTGTTTCTTTCCCTTCAGCCTAAAAATATTCCTTTAGGGCCACCTGGGTGGCTCAGTTGATTAAGTGTCCAACTTGATTTTGGCTCAGGGCATGATCTCAGGGTTGTGAGACTGAGCCCCCTATTGGGCTCTGTGCTAGGCATGGAGCCAGCTTAAGACTCTCTCTCTCCCTCTCCCTCTGCCCCTACCCCCTCAAAAAAAATTCCTTTAGTATGGAATTCTGGATCTATGGGTTTGTTTTTGTTTTGTTTTGTTTTTTGTAGTTAAGTATCTTCAAAGTTAAATAACTTTAGAGGTGTCATTCCATTGTTTTTGGCTTACATTATTTTTGAGGAGGAGTCATCTGTCATTTGTATTATTACTTCCCTATAATATATAATATACTTACTTCTCTCTTTTTCCCCCATGCCCCCAGCAGGGGATGCTTTCAAAACTGTTTTGGTTTTGTTTTTTTTTTTTAATCTGTTGTTTTTAAGCATTTGACTTAGATGGGCCTATGTGTGATTTTATTTTTACTTATTCTGTTTGGGTTTCTGAAATTCTTGAATCTATAAGTTGATGTTGTTTACCAAAATTTGGGGAACTTTATGCCATTTTTTTCAAATAAATTTTCTGCCCCAGTCCTTTCTCTCTATCTCCTGGGAACCCAGTGATATGTAAGATATCTTGATATTGTTCTATAATTCACTGACGCTTGCCCCCCCCCTTTTCCCAACTTTTTGCTTTCATTCTCTGTTGTTATTGCTATCTAGATTGGATAATTTCTATAGCTATGGTATTATTAATTCTCTATTGCTGCAAAATAAATTACTCCAAAATTTAGTGACTTATAGCAGCAGTAATCATTTATCTCCTACGGTTTCTGTGAATTCAGAAAATCCTGAATTATCTGAAATTCTGAACTGTTGTGTGGCTCAGCTCAGGTCTCTTATGAAGTTTTAGTCAGATGTTGGCTTGGGTTGTAGTCATTTGATGGTTTGATTGGGGCTGGGCAGTTTAATTCTATGGTGTCTGACTCACATGGTTAATAAGTTGGTTTCTCTCCACATTACCATCTCCATGGAGCTGTTTGAGAATCCCATGGAAGTTGGCTTCCCTTTGGAATGAGCAATCCAAGAGATCAAGGCAAATTCTGTAATGGTTTTATGACTGTAGAAGTCACATACCCTTATTCCACCATGTTCTATTTATCACATAGGTCAACCCTGATTCAGTGTGGTAGGTGAACTCAGAAAGGCATGATTATCAGGAGATGATTAGGGGGGGACTCTCTTGGAGGTTAGATAGCATAGTCTATCTTCAGATTCACCCACTATTTCCTCTGTAATCTGCACTCTTCTGTAAGCAATTTGAGTGATTTTTTTTTCGAATCTCAGATAGTTTACCCATTCAGCTTTTAAATTTCTAATTTTTTTCTTTTGAGTAGTTTCCATTTCTCTAATAGTATTACCCATCTGTACACTCATTGTGATTATCTTTTTAAAAAATTATTTGAACATATTTATAATAGCTGTTTTAAATCCTTTGTGAATACCAATCTATCTAAATCATCTTGATGTTGATTTCTATTTGTTGATATTTCTTTTGACTGTGGTTCAATTTTTTCTACCACTTCACATATCTAATATTTTTTTTAATTGTATACCAGATTGTCAATGATTCCTTGCAGAGATTCTGGATTCTGTTATCTTAAAGAGTTTTTTTTTCTTTCTTTCTTTCTTGTAACACACAGTTAAACTTGGTGAAACTCATACTCCAAACCATGTCTCTCTCCTGAGGTAAGGAACAGCTGAAATTTTTTCTCAGCTTTTCAACCTTCTAGTTAATGCTTTGTGCTTTCTGCTGAGTTCCTTGGAGTCCCACATATATGTGTAGTTCAAAGATTAGCCTAGTATTTGAGCACAATTTATATGTAGATTGTTGGATTCTTTCACTGTGCTCCCTCCTTTTTGGAACTCCTCAATTTCTAGCCTCTCTGCCAGCCCTGAATTCTGTTTTCTGACACCTCAAGCTACTAAGAGTTGTGCTGCCTGCAGAGCCCTCAGAGGAAAAGCTAAATAAATGTGCATCTAATTCAGAAACGTTCCTTTCTTTTGTGGGTTACATAATTTTCAGTTTTCTGATTTTGCTGGAACTTTTGCACATTTAAAGAACCCTTTTTATATTTAATCCAGAGATTATAATTGTTATATACAGGAGGTTTAGTCATACCAGCTACTCTGCCATACCAGAATGGAACCGTATCCATGCATGTTTGAGTGAGACAAAAAATAGGCAATTAGAAGCTTTGGATCTGGGGCACCTGGGTGGCTCAGTCGTTAAGCGTCTGCCTTTGGCTCAGGGCATGATCCCAGGGTCCTGGGATCGAGCCCTACATCGGGCTCCCTGATCAGCGGGAAGCCTTCTTCTCCCTCTCGTACTCCCCCTGCTGTGTTCCTTCTCTAGCTTTGTCTCTCTCTGTCAAATAAATAAATAAAATTCTTAAAAAAAAAAAAGAAGCTTTGGATCCCTTGGCCTATTCAATGATAGGCTTCACTGTAAGGTGTTGAGAAAAATTAGATTTTTGTTGTCGGGAAGTATCCTAATTGTCAGTATCCATAGGTCCCTTTCTCCTTGAATTATTTAGTTTTCTTAGTGAGGAATCCTTTAATTTCTTGTATGGCTGGGGATATGATAGATATATGCCCATTTTTCAGCATTCTGGGAGCCTAATGGACCTGGAAATCTCATATTTTGTTGTAGAGTTTCATGAATCCCTCTATTTTCAATATGGTCTTAGCTGTACCTTGTGATAAAAACATTTCATTTTCTGTTCAACATTTTCAAAGATTAAATCTCCTCTCTTTTCCAAGGATTTGGGAAGTGTGTTTTTTGGCTGTGAATGGTGGAAGAAGAAATGTAGGGGCCTAAGAAATTTCTTATAAAAGTGTTCAACTGATGTTTTATTTTCTGTTCCAACTTTAGAAGGATCTGGTACTCAATTCCTGAGCATATCTGGAATTTTGTGGTAAGAATTAGATTTTTTTCTCTTTGGCTTCTCCCATTTTGAATCTAGGTTTCAGGTATATCCAGTCTTCTAAGTCAGTTACCATTTGTCCATCTGTTCTTAGATTCTGGAATTTAGTTGATATTATTTCTGTCTTTCTTTTTGTGGATATATGCCTTTGTTCTTTCCGATCATTTTAAATGATATTTCGTAAGGAGTGAAGATGAATCATATGGATTCAATCCTGTTCCACTTGTCTTAAGATAATATTTATTTTCATCTTCTATTTTTAAATAAACATAAACTGATTTATTAAACCAGGTACCCTCTTTTGAAACATCAGTTAATAGCACTTTTACAAAAGTCAGTTTTGAAAAGCATAGGTATATCAAATGACTAAACCAGTGTTGAATGTAAATATCAGTTCTGCAATTTCTTCTATACCATGAAATGGTGTTTCTTTGGCTATTTTTCCTTAAAATAGCAAGAGTAAAAAGACTTATCATCTCTTTCAATGTAATATGCTTGCTTTGGACTTACGTTGTCAAAGAATTGCTCACAACAGACAAGTATATACATGCAGTGCTGCCACTTCAGAACTTGCCTCAAAGAAGTGTGAATAAAAATGGCCTAGCAACTACTCCAGCCTTTCCTCTACCGGTCAGTGCAAGCCAAAGGAAACTTACTTCATGAGAACTAGAATTTACTTTAGAGCTTTATTAGCTTGCTTTGAGTATGAACTTGATTTTCTAACATGAAGATTAGTGAATTCATTCTCTGAAAAGTAATGTTGTATAAGCATTTTCAGTCTTTCACCAAAGAATTCATTATTTCACTGAATTTGTATGAATCTACATATGCTTGCTATTTTGTAGGCCATTTGTAAATTGAGCATATGCTCATCTTCATAAAATTATCTGTGAGGGATAGTTTTTATATTTATTTTTTCATTTCCAATCAACTAAGGATCATATTCCTATCACTAATTGCTTAATTTTTGGTTTTTGTTTTTTATGGTTTTTTTGGGGGGAGGGTAGTTCACCAATATAGCATGAAAGCTCTTAAGAGTCAGAAATAAATCAATAAATTAGAGGAGAATACTGGACTTTGTTTGTTGGTGTTATCAGGAATGGGGACATGTGAGAAGAGTTTATTGCATGTTGGAGGAAAGTTAAAAAAAAAAAAAAGTACTGAAAGTAACACCTGTGAAGTAAGGTTAAAGAAAGGGCCTAGAGTTATTTAGCCAGAAATGAGGTTGATGTAATAACTATTTTTATATATATTTATTACAGAACATGACTGATTATTGTTTGTCTTTGCTGAAATCCAGAAAGAAAAAAGTTCAAGAGTAGAAATACAAATGGTATACATTTAACCAGTACTTAGAAGAGCAGTGTGAAGGTTGACAGACAAACATTGGGGTGCTTGTGATGGGACACATCTCCTTGGAAGAGTCACGAGCTTTAAATGTAGCAATCTTCTCTGTCATGAATGGTGACCGATCCCCCCGTAAGGCTTCCACAGGGCCCTTCCAAACCAGTAATTCTCTGGATCACTTCTGTTCTAACCTTCAGAGGTTGAGAGTGAACCGGACTCAGCAAACACCTGCCCTTTCAGGAGCGCTAACAGTGCTAAAGGGGGCAGTGTCGGCGGCAGCACAGCAGCGTCTCTTCCAACTGAAGACTTCACTCAAAGGTGAGTCAGGTCAGTGAGGACCCAGGCGCTTCCCTGTCCTCCAGCTATCACGGGGGCGGGCACAGGAGCCCTGGGAGATCGGCGACCACAGGGCACCCTCCCCAGCTGCCAATATAAGCTTTGATAGAGGGATGAACCGGGGATTGCTAATTAGCTGGTGATAGGTGGGAGGGACTCGCCACCTAGACGCGCTCCGGGAAGGATGAGTAGCGCCGACGACAGCCAGGTCCCTCTCTCACTCTTCTGCTGCTAGGTGGTCCAGACCCATGTGCTCCCAGAGCAAGCTGGGCGCCCGCCACCCCTGGGGCGAGCGTCCCACTGTGCGCGTTGTGCCTTCCAGGTTCCCAGCTCCCGCGGTAGGGCGCGTGGGATGATGCTCTGGTCCTCGTGCTTTCCCCAAGCTCCTAGCATCCGGAGCCGCCCAAAGCCCGCACCGCCGCAGCCACAGCCTGGGAGGGAGAAAGGAAAAAAGGGAGGGGGCTGGAAAGGCTCGGCGGAGGGAGGAGGAGAGGTGGGGAGGAAGGGAGGGAGCGAAGGGGGAGGGAATCTCTCTCCTTTGCAGTGCCTCCGCCTCTCCTCTCAGGCTGGTGGCGACTGGGTTCTCCTTCCACACCCTCTCCTAGTTCCTCGCTCCCTTCTCCTCCCAACCTCCTTCCCTCCCTCCTTTCCAAGTGTGCAGGAAGGGAGCTGCAGCCTGCGCGCAGCCCAGGGAGCCGGGGGGGAGGCGCTGGGGGGAGGCGGCGGCGGCCGCGGGCCGCGGCGGTGGGTGTGTGCGAGTGTGTGAAGGACGCCACCTCTCGCTCCTGCGTTTGCAGGCGGCGGCGGGCGGCGGGGCTTCTCGCTCCGGCAGCGGCGGCGACAGCGGTGGCGGCTTCCGGAGTCCCGCCGCGAAGATGCTCAAAGTCACGGTGCCCTCGTGCTCCGCCTCGTCCTGCTCTTCGGTCACCGCCAGTGTGGCCCCGGGGGCCGGGAGCCTCGTCCCGGATTACTGGATCGAAGGTTCCAACAGAGATGCTTTGAGCGATTTCTTCGAGGTGGAGTCAGAGCTGGGACGGTAAGACGGGGGCGCCCTGGACTTGGTGGAGCCGCGCGTACTGCGCACGGGCTCGGGCTTCTGGGGAAGCCCACGGCGCGCACCGGGGTAGTCCCTTTTGCAGGGACTGCTCCCGGGGATGCGGGAACCAGCCTCCCTGTCCTTTGATTTCTCCCCGCCTAGTGTCTAGGAGAGAGCTAAGCACATTCAAGTTGGGAGTCGGGTGTCTCTCGGAGCGCCCAGGCCGGCGCAGCTGCGAGCAGCAGCCCGACTCTCCCACCCTCGCTCCCTCCTCCTCGCCGGCTGCCACTTCCCTTGGGTGACAGCTCCCACCACACGTGGGCCCTGCTTTCCCGACTGGTGTCTTTGCTCACGATTATAGCTTGCCAGAGGGTCTTGTTTGTCTAGTAATTTTTTGGGGTAGGGGAGGAGGGTGCCCCTCCAAACCATGACAGAATTATTAAATTAGATTCTTCCCCTTTCCTCTCATCAAACTCTCCAAAGCAAGTGGCACTAGAAATTAAACTTAAATACTAGCTTCCCTGCAGAGTCTGCTCAGGAGTGAAAGGGGGAATGAATCATTTAAGAGCGTTGAAGGCAGAATAATGAACTAGTGTGGCTTTAAAGAGAAAACAGCACAAGGGGTCGAGGCAGTGATAATTAGAAGAATTCTGCTCTTCTTTCATGCTGGAGTGATTTATTTAAATTATGTATGCAAAAAGCTATCTCTCTGGGGTTGCAGAAATGTCCCTCATCTCTCCTCTGAAGATCCAAACAGGTAGAGAGCGGTTTTGCCATGTGGATGATGCCATATGTTCTCAAATTTTTAAACATAGAAAATTATTTTTTTCTTTTTCTTCTTCTTTTTTCCTTCTTTCCTTTCTGTTATCGGTAGGTAAAGGGAATTCCTTTCAACACTCATTTTAGATCCAGGCCGTTTATGGTAGGGAATCTGAAAATGTAATTTCAAGTGTTGACAAGTTGAAGCTTCTGTACTTAATACTTGTAATTTCATTTTCTATTCTCTTTTTGTTGGAAAGAGTTTAGCTAAGAACCTTTTTTTTTTTTTTTAATGCCATTGAAGACCACAGTGTAGGATTATGGGTTTTGGTACTTGGTGGGAAGGTGTAAGGGTCACCTCACACCCCTCCCCCCCAATTTGCCACTACTATTAATGGTTCATAGATATAGAAGGTATGTAAGAAAGGCAAAACTTCTGAATGAAAACGTAGTCATTTGTCATTGTTTAAAAATTTTCCAGGGCATCTGGGTGGCTTAGTTGGTTAAGCATCCAACTCTTCATTTTGTCTAAGGTCATGATCTCAGGGTCCTGGGATCCATGCCCTGCAATGGGCTCCATGCTCAGTATGAAGTCTGCTTGAGATTCTCCCTCTCCCTCTGTGCCCCCCACTCGCTCGTGCCCTCTCTCTCTCTCTCTCTCAAATCAATCAATCAATCAATCAATCTTGAAAAAAATGTTCCAAAATACTTGGGCATTGAATAGTATATACATAAATATCCTACTTTGATCAAAATTTTCAATGTTCATCTGAAGATGTGCTATTGTATGCATTCGCTAGTAGGTTGGAAATAAATGAAGTGTCTCCTTTCTTCAGGTTCGAACCTTACCGTAAGTGTACGGTGAGCTGCAGCGGAGCAGTGTAAATTTCTGATTAAAGAGATCATCTACGTACAGTTGTTTACTTGGTGTTTTAGAAACTGCCACCTAGTAGAGGAGGTGTCTGCTGGTGCTAAAGGGACTGTCCCACCACCAAATCTAACTGCTTTGTGAGTAACGTTTGCCCTAGATGCCTAATTGACTCGGACTTCTCAATAGCACATATTATCTTTATGAATAGCTTTGCCATCAGGAAACTCAAGACATTTCTTTAATTTGAGGAATGGAAAATTGGTTAGAAAAAAATAAACTGCCAGTTGTACACATCTATGGCATGGTAGACTTCATAGGGAAAACCTAAGGAATTTGAAGTTTATTTTTTAAAAAAGCTTTGTGCTATATTTTGCAGACAAATTTGGAAGACAAATATAAATCAATTATGTATTGCTAAGATTCTCACTTGCTATCTAGTTGTTTGATTACCTTGCAAATCACAGAATTAGAATATTTTGAGAAAACTAAAAATTCTCTCTTTTGCTGCTTTTCAGTAGTCATGTGTATTAGGTAAGTTCTCTGTAGATGGCAGTATTGGTGAGGTGCATACTTACTCCATTTGGCTGAGACTGAGAAATGTCACTTCATGATCGTTATTTTTTTTCAACAAAATAAACCTAAAACATAAAGCAACTAATGTTACAGATATAATACTAAGAATCTATATAGCCAGAGAATATAGCAGAATTATAATTATAGGTATTGACTGACAGAAGTCTTCCTTCCTCCACTAGGGATAAAGTTGAGACTCAGTCAATTGGTTTCAAGTCTTTACTCTCTTAACTGTCAGTTTTGGGCCAAATCTGCCTGTCAGTGGTGACTCTAAGGCCAAAACATTTAATTCATTAGTTACACAGTTGTCATTAAGATGTTAAGGGAACGAAGACCTTGGTGTGGAATGTCATTGTGTTTAGTTCCAGGGTATCGGCAATCCCCACTAGATTAAGTTAATTTGTGAGTAGTCATTCCCTGTTAAAATTATCTGTTGTAGGCTAGTGACTCCTGAATTAAAGAAGATTGGACATGTGACTATTAGGGCAACACACCCTGAGGATATGTTTGGGAATTTTAGGGAGCGCAATGAAAGCCAGTTGAAATCCCTATATATATAGTGCTGGCAACACTGTTTCACAGGTAGCCCAAGGCCATGTGATAGCTCTTTTTTGTTATGTATATATGTATCAAGATAAGGGGTGAGTGGTGGGGGTGGGGGTAAGGAAGATTATTTAAAGAGTATCAGGCAAACTAATTTAATTTTTCTAAAATCACTTTTGAAAATACTGCTTTGTTTATAGACTTTGTCAAAAAGTTTACAAAAATTGTGATGCCCCAACGAATTCAGTTCTGTTTATAAATATGAATTGGCCATAATCCTATTCAAGGCTCCCTATCCTAGAGAGTAGTTGGTCCTTTGCCCAGTGATTTGAGAAATTGGCTTTTTAAAGTTTTTTCTAAGGGAGAAAAGAGCCTTCTTCTGGTCCAGATTCTGTCCAGTGGTTTGGCACAGGGACAGACAGGATTTGGCCTGGGCTGCCCTGTGGTGGGGATTATGCATCCAAACCCAAGTCCTGTTTTCAGTTATTTCCCACCTTTTGTTTCTCTCTGTAATATGAGACTGAAAGAATGTATGCAAAATGAGATGTATTCCCACACACAGAAGTTAAGGGAAACCAAATGAAAGATAATTAGTACAAAAGAAGAAGAGTGTGTTAAATTATCTTGGAATAAATTTTTAAATAAATTTCCATTCTACTTAACTATAGTTTCTTTAAGCTAGTGAATTTCAATCACCATCACCCCCCCAACCTGATCCACAATTTAAAGGAGTACATTTATATGGCAAAGGAATTAAAGCAGAGTTTTGTAGGATCCCTTGCTATATGTATTACTGCTTAGGAACCAAATAGATTTAGATAGTGAGACATAGGTGTGTGTAAAATAGAAACAATGTATGTGTTTAGAATGGAAACAAGTTTCATAAAACAATGTTTATTCTTACTACCAACAGTGTACTCTAATATTACCTATTCTATGCTGTTTGATTTTATTCTATTTCATTAAAATATTGGCTGAATCCACATGATTTCATATCTCACTAATGCATTGTGACTCAGTATGAAAATGCTGTTCTGGGCCATAAATCTGTGTATGCCGGATTAAAATATGAGGCAGACCCCTTTTGAAAAATGCCCTGCAGACCAACTGGTAACACTGAATGGTCTCCATTGGCACAACTCTGTAGAGAAAAGTTCTCCTGTCTTTGCCTCTAAGTCCTCATTGGGTTTCCCCTTCCAAACATTTTGGAAAAACTCTAGTGTCTCCCCAAGATCTGCTGGGTGTACTGTACTCTGAAATGGCTGAGGGGGCAAGAGGCTGGGCCAGCAGCACCTTCACTATATAGGGGAGGAATTCAGAGGCCTGAACACTTGTGTCTTCCACTTGGTAACACTTAATTCTGGCCCTGGGTAATGGGCAGCAGATACTTCCTGTAAGGAAACATGAAAGTGTGCATTTTCTAACAGCAGGGCTCCAACCAATGCTCCTGCCTGGTGAGGAGTCAGATCCTCTCTTTCTCCTTCCCTGTCTTTGTTCGAGCCCCTTCCTGAGCCATCTTTAGCCAGTACTTCTCCTACCCTTGGTTTTTCCCCACACTGTCTTTTAGGACCCCACAGCCTATCCAGAATATACTGTTGGTTACGGATCTCCTGCCACCCACACTGCACTTAATATCTTAAGCTCTTTGGGGGATCTAACTAGGAATTAAAAATATAACTGTTTGGTCCCTCTGTTGTTCTCTGGGCATCCAATTCTTCTCTCAGGCAGTTGGCTCAGGAGCAAGTGGGAGAATAGACACCCGGGTACATATGCTTGAACACTTGACTGTAAGCTCCCAGAAGGCAGTCTGTGGATTTGGCTGGTTCACTATCATGTGCTCAATGCCTAGCACAGAGCTTGGTACTGGGCAAGTGCCCAACAAATGATTTTAAGAGAGTGAGTGAATGACAATGAAATGGGCCAGGCACAGTGGGCATGACCCCAGGGAAAGGGAAATCAGGTGACTTGTTTATCTTCTCCCTAAAATTTGTATGACCATAATCTCATGTGTGCTAGTTTTCTTTCATCACGGTGGGAGTCCTGATAACTGTCACCTCTGTAGTTTGTAGGTGTTGAAAATAATGTTCCTTTTCTGTTGGCAGAGAGCTTTGTGGCTCTGAAATGAAAAGGATTCAGTTTCACCTTCACTATCATTTTGCCACAGGCATCTCAGAATTAGGAGTTAAATCAACTTTAATGTAAAGGCATGAAATACCTCCAGGTTATACCAACCACTAACTTCAATACATAGTAA